TCATGCTTTATATTAACACCTGACTGGAAGAAAAATTATTTTACAAATCCGACATCACTACAGCCGAACACCCAGAGGCTTCCATGCTCCATTGTGGCACTTGCTCATTCTTCAGCCTGAAGCAAACTTTCTAGCACACCCCTCTAGCTTTCCAGGATAAATGTTAAAAAAAAAAAAAAGTCTTAAGAAGTCATGTTTAGCCTCTCAGATCATTGCCTGTGTAACTTACAGGAGTAACAGGTTAGACTGACCTAGCTATAAATGAGAAAGACACATCACAGCTGGACATCTTAACCAGCCTGAAAGCCTTTGCCAAGCTTCTCCAGGCTTTTGAAACACCTACGATTTTCAACAGTGTTTCTATCTTTTTTTCTCCCAACAGTGAAAGATAAGCAACTCTGCTACTGTGCATCTGAGGGACACCCCTGCTTCCTTGCTCCAACCTGAGATGTCGTCTCCTTTCCAGCAAAGCTATTTCCAGAGCTTATTTACTAGTTCATTCAAGTCTAGACATCCTAATTTTGCAGCATAAACTGTAGCTCAGTCACCCATGAAACCGCTGAACAGCCTGCAATTGTGTGCAAATCCACACCATGGCTGAGCTCAGGTACAGTCATTAGTGATTGCACATAGCACTTTAATGGGAGGCTCTTTAAACCTGTCAGTAGCATTCGCCAGAAAAATATATCTCTTCCTCTCCTCTCCCTTAAATAGTTTAATTAATACCATCATCCTCGCTTCAGCTCCAGAAAGTGACAACAGCAGGGACACTGGCAAGGAAACAGACATAGCACAGGATGTGAACAGCTCTAGGGAAACTCTTGCTTCCCTTCACTCATTTAAAGGCCCTGCCCGGTGTGAGCCCACATTCCAGCTCTATCCCTCAAGCTTAGGCAGCACAAGAGACACTGTGCCCAGCAGAAGATCTCCAAAGGAAGCAAGGGACAAGATCAGAGGGCACATACCACTTACAACAGCACACCTGGTCTTCTCCAGAGGGAAGATGAGTGTCTTGCCTGGCAGAGGGCTAAGGAAGACATTGGGTCCAGCCTGACTTGGTCAGCAGCATGTGAGAGGAGAGGGCGTGCATGGAACAGGGAGGGGGGAACTCCTGCCCTCAGCCATGAGACCTCTTGCATCAGCTCATGCCAGCGAGCCCTAAGGAAGGGATCTGTGCTGAGTCAGCTGCAGTATATGCCCTTCTCCACAAGGATACAGGAAAAGACTGCCCTGCTGTCAGGGCCAAGGCAATGACCCAGTGAGACTAAAGTGATCCAGAAGCAACACCCTCCCCACCTTCAAGATTATCAGATTTGCTTTCTCCCGTGACTTCCACATTTCCCTAGTGTACTTTGTCCCACGAGTTGCAACCAGTAAGCAGAGCTATTTGCAGTCAGTGGCATGACTCACCTGCTACAGGAGTCCAGCAGACACTAGCAGAGGCATTACTCAGGTATGTGCCCCTGCTTAGGGCTCCCTCACCTCTTCCCCTCCCTCTCAGCCTGTCCAAAGGAAAACTCCTCTCAGGATCGGCTTAGGGCTTTCCACCTCAATGGCTAAACTCAAACTCCTCTTCTTCAGCTCAGCAGGAGGTTATGGTGCTGTGCATCCAGCTGTGCTGAGCTAGCAGGTACAGAATGCCCATCCTTCCTCTCTGGATGTGCATGCGGCAACAAATACCAGAACAAAAGGTACCCTCAGGCTGTCCCCTCCAGCCCCCCAGTCTACACTCTTTTCTACATTTAACTGCTGGGCAGGCCATACATCCCCTTCCAACCACTGTGGCCAGTGCTCCTTAGCACCCTTTCAGCACTTCTCTCTCCAGGAGATTTTGCTGCTGGTCCCAGTACACTCCTCCAACGAGGGGTGGCCCGTTTCTGCAGAAATCTGCTCAGCAAATATTGCAGGGGACCTCACCGGCATATCACAACAGGCAGGTCTAGCTCTGTGCACTGGATGACTGCTCGGTGTGGTGCACTGGGAAGTACTTTATCCTCCAGAAGCAAAGCTTCCTTGGGAGCTTGCTGGTGCCTCACCACACAAGATGTGTGCCAGCTGACGAGGAGCACAGGAACCCACTGAAGATTGGTACCAGGCAGGAAACCAGTTCTGGAAGACAGAAGCTCCTTATGTTCCACATCAGCATGAAACAAAAGCCTTTCAAAGCTGTGTGTGGTTGTTCAGTGGAAAAGGATTTGCTGCCTTTCATTTTCCTAGATGATGCAAGGACCCACAGCACCCAGGTTTATTGCTCCTCTGCTTCCCTCCTTCACACCAAGCATGATCAACTGCTAAAAGCCTGTCTCGATGCAGCTTCACTAGAAATTTCGCCTGAAACACCTTTTCCAACAAAACTGCAGCAGCAGCAGGAAAACTTTTCAGTTTAATAAATCAACATCCAGAAGTGGTTTCTTTAGATAAGCTCTGAACAGCTCCAGGCAAGAGGCTGTACTTGGAGGCCACAAGAAGTGAGCTCACCCCAACATCGAGGAAAGCCTGCAGAGGAGAACAGGCAGCTTGGGCTCAGTGCTGTGCCTCCACAGAAGACAGGCCTCATTCCTGGGCTCACTTAGCACCTTTGGGCAGACAGGTAGGAAAACAGTACTAGGCTATAAAGAGGAGTGTGGTTTGAATAGCGAAGGCAACTCAACCTTGGCAGCCCTGTGTTTTAAATAAGACAGCACTTTGGTGCTCTTCCCACTCCCAAAGCATTCAGAACTGTTATTTACAATTTCCCTTAGGCAGGCCATAAATCCAAGATCAACTAGCAAGCTCAACACAGCGTAAAAGGATCCCAGTGGCACACTAATTACCTTTGCAGGCTATGCAAGCCTATACAGTTTGCTTCTGCACAGTAGCTTTGGAAACTTTGGCTAATGACTGTGACTAGCAGATCAAACTTTCCACTTTCTATTGTTCTGTTCAGGGCAGCCAGCCGGGAATTCAGGGGCAACAAACCTCCAGGGGAAGAAATCAAGGCCATTAAGGGAAAGGGAAGAGGGGCTATGAATCATAATATTACTCTGCACAGGAATGCAATGGCATGCTATGGCCTCCAGCAGAAATGAAAAGATAGTAAATCCAGATTGAGAGGAAGCCTAATAGATTACAAGGGCTAAAACCAAAACCACCACCAAACAAAAAAAACTATTACTCCCATTCTCTTATGACTTCAGGGATTGCTTTTCTCCCGCTACTCTACACCAAGGTGACAACCTTTTTTTTTGTTTTGTTTAAATGAAAGTTTTTAATACAGTAAAAACCCACTCCCCTCGTCTCCTGAGACAGAAGGCCAGAAGACTTATCAGAGGTGCAGGTGCTGCATCTTTCACATTTTCTCACTTCCATGGAAATGAGCTGATGTTCAGCCTGCAGTTAATTTCACACAGATCTCTCCTAACACCTACTAGCTCTATTTATGTGTTCTCTATGCAGACAGCAGTGGTTATAGCAAACACCTGGGGGAAGTAAGGACAAAATATCAGACTCAAATCATTGCTCTGGACCAAGAAGAGCATGAAGTAACCAGAATATGCCATTTTCTGAATGAAAGCCTTGGATGGCAAGCTATTGTCTGGTTTAAGGCAACACAAACACTCTTTCACTCCAATCATAAAAAGGTCTGTAACGAAACATTTACTTAGTTGGCATTTCTGCATGCAAATCTTAGTTGCAATGACTCTCTTAAAAAAACATCCACCAACCAAGAAAATCTAACATGTTGCATTGGGCTGCGAAAAATTCCAACAAGCCTGTTATCCAGCTGAATGTTATACTGGTAACGGTTGAAGCCCCCTCCCATGGGAACCACAGATTAAATTACTTCCCAAAAAAAACCTATAAAGTCTTCAGTGGTAGTTTTGGGGTCTGGTGAAAAATTCTTACTAGAGATTACATAAGCAAAGGCAAGAAGAAGGAAAAAAGCCACGTATCTTGGATTCCATATCAGGTATAACAAAGTAGTGCAATACAGAACAAACTCCTGTCTCCTGCAGTCAGGCCATTTCCCCTTGGTGCAGACCAAAACCAAAACAAAAACTGGGGAACTTAATACTACAAAATACTCCATACAAAGTAACGATATTGTGCTAAATCTTGATGGGTTGGATGCCATCTACAATAGGAAATTAATAAAAGTTTATGAAGATCTGTACAGCAACTTCCAGGATATAATTAGATAATACTTTTACAGAGCCATAATAAAGAGGAGGAAGTTTTGTGTTTTCCTCAGTTGGTGTGGTACTACCTGTTAATTACAGATAGCTAAGGAAGCAGAAGATGATCTCTGGAACATATCCAAGGGACACAGATTAGGCTGATGGCATGTATGTACTCTCCATTCATGTACTCTCCAAAGGCAAGGCCTCCCAAAGGGGTTTTCAAATGTTTTGGCTACAAGTTTACTAGTCACCTCACATATAAGCATGTAGATATTTCTTACAAGCTTTCCCTCAAGTTTCTCTCAGAGATTTCTTTTTTTTCCCCTCATGAAACAGACAGAAACAACAACAAGAAGTTGATAAAAGGACTTCAGGCACTTCTCACATATTTTTGCTGTAACTTTACAATCCTGAGGCAGGGACACAGGATATCTTGCTCCAAATAACAGAGGAAATTCTGAAAACGTGCCAGAGTACATACTGCTAGAGACAGCAGAAGTGGCAAGTCTCCTACTGAGCTCAATACTGCAAGGTGAAATCTACTCCTCTTACACATTATGGCTACGACACGGATAACTTCTAGGTTTAAATAACAACAGCCAAACCCAAACCATCTTATAACTCTTTTAAAATGAGCTCTGAGACAGCTTCACAGACTGCTCCGTAGCAACCTAAAGAGAAAGCTGAAAAATCCCTACCTCTTTACCAAAACTCAGGCTAAAGCTTTTTCAGTCCATATGATCCTGGTTTGATCTGTTTGAACAAAAGTGGGAAGCCAGAGAACAGCAAACCACTTATTGGATAAAGTTACATTTGTATGGGTGATGAAGTTATACTCACGCAGTGCATACAGGGAGAGGACTATTCCAGCCAGGCAAAATCCCTCGAAAAACCTGAGTGTGCTGAACATGGTCACATTCACTGAGAGTGCCACAGTCAGTCCAAAAATCAAAATGAATATGACAGAGAAGAGCAGCACAGGCCGTCGACCAACCCTAAAAATAAGGAAGTATGGAGAAACAGTTAAAAGCCAGGAGGGACATAATGCTAGATCATTAAAACTGGCAAAGAAGGGAACAAGTCATACAATCCCTTCCAAACATTGGCATCAATTTTTAATGCTTGTTTCAGTCTTCCAATTTTTTTTAATTTTTTTTTTGCTCACTAAACCCCAGATTCTCTGCCAGCTTTGCATTGACAAGTTCATTTCGGATGGGATTAAGCAGAGACAGCACACTGTATTACTGCTTGATTTAACCAGCATTTTCAAAACACCAAAGATAAACAAGGAAACATCTAGGAACTAGCACAAAGCCATAAATAAGTTCCTTGGAGATGAAAAGCAACTCCTCAGAGTTTTCTGTAGTAGCATGGGAGAGTATATGGTATTATATGCTATATGGGATAGTACATTATTAGCTGCAGGGGCCTCCTCTTCCCAACAGACATGTGCTTCTCAGCCCCATCTGCAAGAGCAGGTGGCTCAAAAAAACTACTTTTCTTGGTCTCATTGTTGCAGGTAAGACTAACAAACATGGACCGAGCACAAAACAGGACTCATGTCACTTCGCTGAGCCTCAGAGAGCTGAAAGTAACACTCACAAGAGAACTGTGAGCTTCAAGTCCCTCCACTTGGTATCCCTACAGCAGCTGCAGAGACCCACAAAACCAGCCTGACTGGAAGGTGAGGAATAAACCACTCCAAAAATAATTTCAGGCAACAGGGGCATGAGGACTTGCAGCCCTCCTTTGCAGCTGCAACCTCTAATTGCATGTGTTGGTGCAGTGCTGACAAGGAGAAAGAATTATGCTGCCACTGAATGTGGGGGCAGTCGCTCCAGAGTTTAGCTCTTTTATGTTCAAGGAACATGAGATTTTTACATCTCTTACTCATATGCTTAGTGTTTATAATTTCCCCTTCTCCCCCTCTCTTCCTGTGCAAGGAGAATGATACGAAGCACCAGAGCACATGGCTATTTTTAAGCAAAAATTGGATCATTATGTGGAGGTTTCCAAATTTTTTTCAACTTGTCAACTCCCACAAGTTTTCCAGTGGAACTGAGGATCCCTTTTAGTCAGCTCCATATGCCATTTCCACAAAGAATACATGAACTTGCTTTTCGTAGGCAGCTTTCACAGACCCATTCAAAGCAGTCTGTCAGCTGCAAGCCAGCCATCAGGTTGAATGTCAGCACAATAAAGAGCATTTAAATCTCACAACTTAGTCCAGCTTCACATACTGTAGCACTTCTATTCAATTATTTCAGCAGATTGTTACCAGCAGTTATTAAACACATTATATATATGCATTCATAATTCGAACTTTGGGGTTTGCATTACTTAAAATGGACAAGATCCATAAAATAGGGAGAAAAGGGCTGAAAAGGAGACACTGGCATAATTTTTTACATTTTTGGGAACTAGAAGAGTGCACCAGTCATAATTCAGGCTTTTTCAAAGTCACACCTAAGAAAGTGATGTCATGGCTCCTTGCATGAAAACAGGTTTACTATAATTTTCAGCTGTAGCATCACCTGTGGGGCACCTCAAAGATTTAAATTGCTGGCATTAGCCATTCAAAGTTTTTAAAAAAGAACAATGTTTAAAAACAGAACCAATGTGCAAACTGAAGACAGCATGGTCAGAGCAGGCTGCTTTCCATCAGCGTACAAGCCCAGCCCACCAGAAGAAGAGCTGCTGTTGAGCTGAGGGTGGGAGCATAACATCACTGGATTGGTGATGTGGAATGCACTGGGGACATGCTGGACACGGGGGCAGTTACTGCTGTGTGTGCTTCAGATTTTATATTTACGGAACACAAAGCACTTGGGCAGGGAAGGGAAGTACCTCACATGAAACCCTGAATACAGACAAAAAGCCAATGAACTTTGAGTTATCAGCAACCTGCACAGACTTTTGCAGCCCCAGTTTTGTTATGCCAAGCTGTAATTCATACCAATTAGTATTTGTGGAAGTGTTTTGCAGATGAAAGGCATTATGCAAACCCTCAGAATTAGGAACTTAATTCTCATCACAAGCCTGACCTGCCATTCCCTGATGTTGATTGAAAAAGACCTCATGCTTAGCATACTTCAGTTCCTGTCTTCCCCTCCTCCCATCCTCTGTACTTGAGGTTATCCATTATTAGGATGCAGAATTTCTTCTACCATTATACCAGTTATGCAAATGAATGGTTGCTGGTAATGAAAAATCAGAAAATCGAAGGGCCTCCTGGGCCTGTGAAAGCCAACTGAGGCCAGGTAAGCCCTCTGGTAGGAGGTATGTCCTCACAAACACAAAACTAGTGTTCTTCACCCCGGCATGCAGCACACTTCTCAAAAAACAAAGCTCCAGGGCAGCTATCAGCCATATATTTGGTGATCCAGCAGTGTTTTGACAGGATGGTGTCTTAGAGCATAAAAAAAGCCTTTTATATGCAGACAGAATTATCTAACAGTACATGGAAATGCTAGTGAGAAATTAAACCATACACAATTTCACTGGTAAAACAGCCCCAGGATGCTATCTGCTGCCATCCAAACTGTTCCAGAGAGAGATTTCTGTATCACGGAAGTCTCAGCCTACACTGCATGCTATTATCTAGATCAAATGCTAAATGCTGCCTGCACAGGTAAATAACTAGGGATACGAGCAACCCCAGGCTTTTGAAGAATCTGCAACCCACACAGTGTGATAAGCAAATACATCAAAAAGATATTCCTAATGTCAGAGTTGCACCACAGGGGAAGAGTGAATGGTCTGAGGACAAGACCTGTTCTTCCCATGCTCCTACACATGTACCTTGCTGTTGCAGCTGATCAAATTGCTCTTCCCATGACATTCTTTGCAGGCTCTCTCTTGTTTTTGGGACTTGAACTGACAAAGGCTCCAAAAAGCATCAGAGCAGGTGCAAAGCAGGGGCACTGTAGGACAGTGAGAGGCACCAACCTAATGTCTTGATGCTACATGAACACCAAGCCCACCTGCTCCAGAAGGAAGCCTTCCACACAAACCTCAGCCTGGAGCTGGCAAAATTGCCAGCAGCACTTTGCTTGTGGAACAAGTAACTTATTCAGGCGCTGGACACAGTCGGTCTTCACATATCTGAGCATGTTTACAGACTTTCCTCCTATAGATTTTCCACACAGAGCTATCCCAGCATGCACACCAACTGTATTTTGAACAGAGAGCACTCAGTTTACTTAGCAAATTGCTTTAATACACTCTATGCCTTTGCTTTGTACACCTTTAAAACCTTCTTTCAAAAAGGAAAAGCAAAACCCCTAGTGGTTAAAAAAACCCAAAACATCTTCTAATTATCTACACTGGAGAGCAGTATATAAGTGAAATGAGAACAGATTTTGAAATTTTGTAACAATTCCTATACATTACTCTGTTTAATCTCCTCTGCTCTTGCTTGGGACTGACATCCTTTTTTTACTTAATTTTCTCTTTCTACAGGTACAATCCGTACAATTCCCTTTGTATCTATCTCTCCACACAACTCTCCACCTTTGCAGAAATTGAAGCTGTGATTAAACAGCAAAGTAAATTCCATTTAGGTGTTCTTTTACCAGTCCCCAAATGCTACTGCTAAATGACGAGAAGACTATCCAGCACAGGAGCCCTACTGGGTTAGGTACATCAGCTGGCAACAGGCACTAAACAGGAGTGTGAGGACTAGCTTTGGCGGCAGCAAACTGTGTCCATTCTGGTCACCCACAAAAGGGTCACTGTTCCCTCCAGCCACCAAATTACCCTTTTTCTCCTTTCTACCACAGCTGGAAGCCAGATTCTCGTAAACTCACTAGACATTTCTAGGTATTTTAAAATTAGGGTAATTTTATGCTGCATTAGCTCAGCTAAGCAGCTCGCAGAGGGGTCCAACAAACGCATGTGGCAGCGCAAAGTACACGCTGGGGACAGAAATGGATGGAAGCACAGAATGCTCCTTTTGGTAGCAGAGAGCTATTAAACCTGCTTACTGCAATTCTCTCTCAAAGCCAGTGCCTTAGGCAACAAGTTGTTCACTTATTTGTGGCTTATTTGTCAATTATAGCACCACTTTCCTAACTTGGTAATAAGTCTGCTTTCTCCACACTGATTCCTTTTTAGGAAAGCCAAGCAAGATCTCTCATTCATTTCCCCTCTATACTTCCTATGAGTTTTTAGAGCCCCATTTTACTGTGGTATTTTAATCAAATTCAACCGTATTTCATCCATGTTCCCTATTTCACTGAAAAGTCATGATTCCTTGCTTGCCCAAGAACTTTCAGCGACTATTCAAGAATTAAGATGCAATTTCACTAGGAATGCTTGATCCAAATTACTGCACAGCTGCAGGGGGCCTTTTCTCTCCCAGCTGACTGGTGAGTTGCTGAGGCTTTATAAGATTTCCCTAATAGGCAACTCTTCTTCCTTTCCTGTTCTAGTTAATGGTAAAAGAGTTAACTTGGGGCCATTTAAAGCACCAACATTGGCAACTGTGCTAGAAGCCACCGAAATGACTGGGACAGCATCATAGAGCTATTGTTTCAGATGCTGCAAGTTTCCACTGAAATCACTTGAGTCATCCCTTTAATTTTCTTTCCCCTCATCTACACTACAAGACCATTTTCTAAAATAAAAGCTGAATTCTCAGCATAATTGGGGTATCCAATAACGCCTTTAACTATAGCAGTTTAAAGAATTGCAGTCTACTCTTTTAAGTTTAATACTCCAATACTAGCACGACATTAGTCAGCAAATCCTTAACACTACATCAAAATGTTTGCTTAACAAGAACTTTAAAAGAAGAACAAGGGAAAGGTTTGCAAAAGACAGCCTTCAACTCACCGAAAGATACTGTGTAAGCACAAGGCTGACACTACATTAGTCACGTTTTCAGTGAAATCAATGCCGCTTCCAATTTCTTTTGGCCCTACTTCTTATTTAAGCAAAAGAAAACCCTAAACTAAAGGCTTCACTTGTATAATTAGAAAATACTCAATTCTGTACTAGCTTTACAGCTGTAATAAGTTGTGTCAGCAGGAAATAGCTAAGCCAAATAGAGAAGAGTCTGTGTTATTTACCTTGATATAAATTACTCAGGTTCAAACAATTAAAACAGTTTTAAACTGTTTGTCCATCATGGTTCTTTCAGAACCTGAGAAATCATTACACGAAGGTTCTTCATGAATATAAAGTAGAAGACAATCAAAACAATATTTTATACTGTTACTTATTTGTAGTTACATTGCATTAAAGAATTTTTCACTTACCAGTCAGCTATACATCCTGTTATTAAGTGGCCGAAGATTAATCCTACAAGCAGGGAAAATTTAGCAATGTGGACTTTCCAGGCAGAATCACAAACAAGATCCCACTGGAAGAAAAAAAGAGACAGATAAACTGAAATAAATGAGTTACTCAGGTGTGTTTTAACATAGTAATATCAGTGCAGAGCTTCTTCCAAATGTCAGTCCTAACACAAGTGCAAGGAAACAGCAGAGGAAAGCTTTCCCCCTCAAGTCAAATCCAAGACCTCAAGAAGCAAATTAAAGACTCATTTACTTCAGTGAGTTTTATCAGACCCTTAATTGTAAGATGACAATATCCAACACTTAAGTCTCCCCCTCTCCAGGTCACACGAGTTTAGCCTAAGGGGATATCTCCATCTGATGTTGGCAATTCTGCTGCAGCTGAAGCATCTCACTGTCATTGCAGCCCCAGACACCCATTATCAGAGCCCCATGAAGCCCACCAGCAGTAAGCCTGACAATTTAAGAGCAACTGCTCTAGCTGATATCCTCAGAGCTGCTTGGAAATATCGGGAAAAACAGCTGCTTTGCCACAGACCCTGATGGCCATTAGCTTCAGGCTCTCAGTGTCAGGATTCTTTTGTTTTCAGAAAAGCATCTTGATTTCCCCAGGTGGTGGAAGGGGGATGAAGACTAAATAAAGGCACAGCTTGTCAAGACAAGTCCTGGCATGGAGCTAGACAGGCAGCTGGAGATCCCAGCACAGCCATGCAACTTCTTGGGACAGCAGCCCCCACGGTGACATTTCATAGCTCAGAGACCAGACAGGTTCTGAACCTCCACAATAAAGCTATGCCTAAAACTGAAATTAACCTTTCTGTCCAAAGGAAGGGGAAATGAACCATTTCAGGCAATTTGTCATTAGGGTACTGCCTCATTCCCATGAGAAAGATAGGAAAAACAAGGTTTCTAGTGAGGCTTTCCTAAACTCCAAGACATTTTCCTTCTAGGCAGAGGAAACCAGAAGAACCAGATTGCATTCCTGGCTTTAGCCCAACAACTTCATTGCCCTCAGAGATGTAACTTAATCTCTCTTATGTGTAAAGTGTGGATACTTACTATTATACCCTTGAATAAATATAAGAAGATGTGTTTGTTTGCGGTTTGTGAGGCGCTCAAATATTCATGGTAATGGGAGCCATGCACATTACATGACAAATAAGTACAGCTAACTTTGGAGAGTCAGATACTCTAGAATTGAAACTTTGCAGAATAAATGGCTGTTTGTGTGTAATGTAATAGTAGCAGCCCTCCTGACACCACAAACTGGAGTTTCATAGCCAAAAACACAAAGTAGAAGTATGCAATTTATTTTTAAAAGTTAGATGCAACTTCAAAAAGAGCTTCCCTCAAAACAGTTCAATTAGGTGCACTGCACATTTCCATGACGCACAGCCCTTCCACAAATAAGGCAAGACTCAGCCCTCCAGTTCAACATCAGAGATGTCCTCACTACAATATACCATGTCACTAAGAGGTACAACAATTTTGTGGCCAAAAGAAACGTGCCAGCTTTCAGGATCAGGCTTTTTGTTTAAGTTAAATGTATTTTTGAGTTCTCCACTGCACTGATCTGTACAAGTTGGGACATACACGTGTAATCTTCCACCCTACAGACTGAAGGCACTAAAGAACCATCAACAAGTAGTCTGAGCAAGGATTTTTTCCACCAAATAGCTATGAATTATTTGCAGCAAACAGCTCAGCAAGGCAATGAGAACTGCTCTCCAAAAACCTTGACTTTTCAGGAGCAAGTGGAGGAAATGCAATTACTAATACTTGCAACTCTAGAACCAATCTCCAGCTAGCAAAAAAAAAAAATATCTGCCCAGACAAGCTGAAAACAAAACAAAATTCAAGATATATATCTGAGCTCCAGGCAGGTTTTAAAATGCTCCAGCTTCATTTTCACAATCCAGAAGGTGTATATGCTACTTGAAAATGAAAAATCATTTTTGTTTGTAGAGAACAAATTCAATTTATTAAAGATAGTCATATTTATACAAGCACACATTTTAAAATTCAATAATTAATTTTTAAATTTATTGATGTCAGAGGAACAGTAGTGTCCTCCAAGTGCAAAAAGAAAAAAAGAGATACCCTGGTGTCTTTCTATTTTCAAAGCTTACTACTGCTAGCCAAAGGTAGCTGGCCCTCACATAAGCCCGTGGCAGAGAATGTGCAGTACCAGATTACACGTAGTTAAAGGCTCATGTTTGGAAGAGCCAAAATCTCAAGAAGGACTGTTGTGAAATTTCAGGCCAGGACAATAGACGTCAAACCCCTCTGGCACACTGGCACACAAAGTAAGAGTTTAAAAGCAGAAGAAGAGTCAATGTATCAGCTTGTCCTTCAGTGGTGCCCAAAATACACCCACTCCCCTAGATAACTTATCTGCAAGTCATCCTTTGTTTGTTTGTTTTTAAGGCTATTGTCCAACTCCCCAGCTGCTCTGACAATAAAAAACACTTACTTCCTTGCAAACCCTGCATCTGGCCCTTCCCTGCCCTTGGTTAAGCACTCGCTCTGCAGGCCAGCAGAAATCAGAGCTGCTCCCCCAAGCCCACACGGGCAGTTTAACGCGGGTGCTAGCAGACCAGGCAGCCCTTGACCTTCCTGAAACCTCTCCCTCTGCAAAACCCTCCAAACTTGTAAACTGGGAAATGGTGAAATATATCAACAGTTGCTTTAACAAAAAATTCCAGAGAATCTGCCATGACCCCGAATTACTCGCTCTGTACTAAGAGCTCAAGTATATCCTGGTTTCTCCTCTGGCAGCTGTCACAAACCACAGAGAGGTCACCATGAAGCAGTTACCCAAAATAAATTTGGCACGACAGTGGTAGGTGCCACCAGGGCATTCAACTTGCAAAGAGAGACAAGAATAAGGAGAGAGGACAGAAGAAAAATGGATGCTACAGTCAAAAGCAGCCTCAGGTAAAGATGACATTAATAGGACAAAATACATATTTAATAGCTAGCATATCGTCCCTACCCATCTTAACACAGCAGCAGAGCAAACCAGTAAGGTTTCATCATGCTGAAAGCACAGAAGTTTTGCCAGAGACCTGTGTTGCCCCTTCCCATCCACATGGAAAAACCTCAGCTTTGAAGAGCTAGAAATAAAGCAGGAACTATTACACAGCAACAGTGCTGGCTCTCCCCTTATATACACCTGGGCTCAGCAGAGCAGAACTTATTTGTCATGTGCCCACATGGCACGGCTGTGCCCAGAGCTGTGGCAGGTCCTGCTCCAAGTGCCGGTAGTTTCATTCTGCAAAGATGACACTCAGGTTTGCTCCACAAAGAAAGGAGTGATGGGTTTCCATGTCCCTGTAGAACAAAACACTGGGGTGGGCAGTGCTGATGACTGGCAGTTCAACTGGCACTCCAAGTAAATCTGCACTGGGAGGTTGTTTTGGCTGGAGACTGGACAGTAATCCTCTACCACCTCTTGCAAGAGGTAGTTTAATCTGTTACAAGCAGGAGACCATTAAAACCCCCTAACTGCTCTGGTTGAATTCCCTGGTGTCCCACTCAGGAGTTAACAGCGCCAAGCCTAAAGGAAAGATGCTGCTAAACCTTCCCTGGGATTTCTCTGTGTGCCCCTGTCTTTCTGTCCTCCATCCATCATCCTAATACAAGAGATCAGATAAATGACTTGCTAAAGAAAAAGGACTGTATTGTTATGCCAAGCAAAAATAACTGCATATAAAATATGCTGGTGGAAAAGGTACATTGTAGAGAATTTGCCGCCTATGCAGATGTGCAACATATTGCAAGTGGGGTTTTTTTCATGTTGTGACAGCATTTTTTTTAGTCAAAGCTTAAGGAGTCACACCTTAAGGATCCTAATGTTTAACAGGTATCAGTGAGTCACCACCCATGCTGTGACTCACTATGCTTCACAATCAAGATGGAGGACTATTTAAAATATGGGTTGCTCGGGAAAGCACCTGGCAAAAGGTAATGCAACCAAACAGTAACCATTCTGTAACTCTTTACAAGGGGTGAAAATCCAGACAGGTTTCATGCAGTGAGTCAGTATTTGCAATGAAGTTACAAAGTCATAAATGCAAAGTTTGTAACTACAAGCACAAGCTGCTGCAATTAAGGGCTCCTGCCTCAAAAGTCCTTGTCCTCTGGAGGCTGGCTGTGGCATCTAAGCAGACTTAATACCCACTGCTAAAAGGTCATAGTAACATGCCTACAGAGGATTTGGTTTCTACCTTCAACCTGATAACATGAAAAAGTGCAAAGTAGACTCTTCTGTCCTAAAAAGAAGCAATAAGACAGGAGAGATGCCCTAGTACAATGCTTGCTCGGAGTCTGGCACAAAAAGCCCACGGGAGGGGAACTGGACACACACACTCTTGCCACACTGTGGGTTCACAGTCTGTTTCCAACAATTCATGCCCAGATTGCTGCTGAAAGAAAGCCCGCCCTCTCCTAAATGGTCTGCAGGTGACTGCTCTCTGCAGTGGTTTCAGCAAGAGGACACCAAAGGATCACCAGTGCTGCTGCCTTGGAAGGCCCTAAGCTGGGCACGAAACTGCACCCTTGGTCTTTCCCCAGCCAGGCAGCACCTGGCTGCTGTGCTGGCCTTCACAGACTCTGTCCCAACGCAGGTAACATGCCCCAGACACTGTATGTGGTCTCTCAACCCCTTGGGTAAAAGTCTCGCTGTGGGAGCCCAGGCCTCCGCATATCAGTCATGTATGCCACAGCTTACCACAGCAGTCCCAAAGTCACCCCTGCCTGGGGAAAAGCCACCAGCTTGCCTGCACATTAGATAATGATTTTAAGACCAATAAATGAAAGTAAGACTCTATCATTCGTCACTGAGGTGTGTTGGTTCTCATATTTCTTTGTTCCTCTCCTTCCTGCTCCATCTTTTTATAACCAAACCATGTCAATTTACCCCACACAGCACAGAATCCATCTTCTATGTAAATACCTTACCTAGTGAGACTTAAAATTTATGATGCTTTCAGATTCTCTTAAGAGCATTCTTATTAAAAAAACAACATGAACCAAAGCTGTTTTTAAAAAGAATAAAATAGTA